CCAAGAGATAACTATTGTTCACTTCTCAAATTCTCTCTTAAGATAGGGAACTGGGGGAAGGGCATGCCTTTAACCTGCACTTGGGTGAGGCAAAGACATAAAGTGTAACCCTAATGTTTGCACCCTCACAATACCCTGAAATAAAAAAAGAAAAAAAAAAAAGATAGGGAACTGTGTCAGGAAACTTAAAATCTAGAAGGAACACAAAGCTAATAACTGAAATATAAATAAATATTTTAATGTAACAGGTAAGTGCCTGAAGAGGCATATAGAGTACTTTTGGGTATAAAGGAAGAAAACATGGCTTCAGGTAGGGAAGGAGATGGCTTTTTAGGTGGTCTTAGCCTGCTAAGACCTAGGAGTACTAGGGGGCAGCCCACCTGCCTCCTCTTCTTCCTTCCTCCTTGAAATTCAATTCTTCATTTATGTGGTAAGGAGACTGTAGTAGATGCTGTCTGTGGCCACTTTTTGGCTCTAAAATTTTGATGTTTTATTTATTGTATTGTGCATCTGATAGAGTCTAACTTTATTCCAAAGAAAAGATCATGAAATGATAGGATTATTAATTTTGAATTTATAATTTTCAAATACTCTTGGAAGTCATAACTTCTATTCTTAGTACCCCCATAAAGACAAAATTGGGATTAGTAGATTATATGAATATAATTTTAAGCCTTTCTAGTTAGTTCTGTGTTGAAAGAAATAATTTCAGTAATACATCTTCATTTTCTGTTTTTTGAACAAATTAGTATAAAATATCAAGGAATATTTACCCCTGTTTTATTGTAGAATATTTTAGTTAGTATGAATAGGAAGGTTAGGTTGACATAGAATGGAGACTGAATCTTTATAATGTCAGGATGGTCATTAGCAGCCCACTGAGTTTTAAGACTGAGTTTTAAGATAGCATTAGATGAGAGATTCATTAGGCTTTTTCTTCAGTATCATTCAAAGTCTTACCATAAATTAGTTTTTGAATGAAATGTGGGCATATGTAAATAAATATTGTATAAATTTATCATCTTAGTTATGATAGTTGGACTCATCCTAGTGAATTCCTCTAGAGAGTCCATGAATTATATTATTGATTGATTAATATAATACATTTTATCACCATTAAAAAACAGAAATAGGTCATGGGATTAGTCTGAGATAGTAGGGCAAAAAAGCATGTCATAAACTCTACCTAATCTGAATGTGGCTGGTTTCGAAATGGCCTTCAATTTTATCCTAACATCTTATATGAACTTTACATTTATAATTTAAAAGCCTTTTTATTTTAAATTGTTTTTCAGTTTATTTTCCAGAGTTGTTCAAAACAAAACTACAACTGGAGACTCTGTAATCTACCTCCACCCCCACACCAAATGTTCATGGCTTCTACAGAGGCTGGGGTTTCCATGGAGAGTCCAGGGATTGCCTCTTTTTAATGCAGAAGAATCTATAATATTTAGCAATCCAGAAAGAGCTTTAGAAAACACTCTACGTTACTAGTTTTAAATTGTGTGCAAGCAGGCATGGTTCAGAGATCTACCTCCCTTACTTCAATCGAAATAACTCCATTTGTTTTTTTGGGCTTTGTTTTTACATTATGTATCAGACTGCCGTATACTATTTTTTTTGAAAAAAATGTTCTATTGATAAAATTTAGTTTAAAAATTATTATTCTATAAACTAATATTCTAGTTCTTTGGTTTCCAAATTCTAACACATGGTGAAATAAGGATAATATAGTGAACTTCTGGTAAAACTAAATTTATGCTTTTGTTGAATTCTATAATAGATTTATATTGTTAGTCTATTTGCGTGAGAGTATTTTTAAAAGTCCTGCCGTTATTGCACATATGAATATTTATTTTAATATCCTTAGTTGTGTAATATGTTGACAACCATTTGTCAGTCCCCCAATTTTACTTTTGAAATTTTACCATTTATGAAATCTAAAGGTTTGGGAACCACTAGAACATGTGAAAACTGAATCTAGAATGTGGTCTCCTGAAAACACTCTCACAATGACAGACCATTCTGCTGTACTAACCTCTGTGTTCTAGAGTAATTGTTCATCACTATTTTCTTTGTCTTCCAAGTACCTTGAAGGGTGGCACACATACCAATCAATAATGGTAGCCCAATAAGGCAGTTTCTTTAATCTGACTCCCTGGCCTTAGTTCCAGGAGATTCTGAGCAATATTGTTCCATTTTCACCCTGGAGATTCAGTGCTCCAGAGGAATAAGAACCTAAGAGGGTTCATTGTCAAGTGCTGCTTCTGAATATATCTGTACTACTACTGAGGATTTAGAAAGCACATTCCTAATTGTTTGCATTGTGAATGCTTTATGGCTTTAAGAAAATTGCATAAAATTTGTAGGGTTTTCATGGTACAATAATTAGTAAACAGAAGGAAGTGATGCAATTTGTTCAATAGATAATAAGGAAATTTAATCATATTTCTATTCATTGAGATATGTTCCTTTTATTTTTCCTGTTATAACAAATGGAGATATTTTTACTTAATTTGAAACTTACATAGAGCCTTGTTGGCATTTGATTTGAGTGAGTGGTATTGTTATATTTTTGTTATGTTTAATTTAAATTATATAAAATGTTTGAAATAAGAGGAATGAAATGCTAGCTTTTTCCATACTATTATAGAGTGATTTAAAAAATCAAAAAGTAGTAAATGGTGATATTAAAGCATAATTTAATATACTATAATTTTATTTTAAATGCACTGTAGTATTTTTCTTGGATTAATGCTAGCCACAAATGGATATTAGCATTGGTAATGGTTGAATATGAGTTGAGTAACTTGATTAAATGTATCTGTGTCAGTTAGCTACACAGTAATTGAGATACAATATTGGTTTGAAAAAGTATTTTGGACTATCAAACAGTAATACCTCAGTGGCATGAAGATTATAAATATGCATTTGTATTTTACATTTATATATAGGCCAAAATGGTTTGCAGAATAATTCTATTTTGGCTGTTATTATTACCTAACAATGCATTCATGATGGAGTTCAAAAGTACAAGTTTGTTTTAGGCAACAAGAGGTTAAATATTAGTTTAAAAATGTTATACAGGTTGTTGAAAACCAGTATATTTTCATATAGAGTTTAATATTTCATTTGGATGATCTGAATAGCATTCATATCATAACTGTCACAGAAGCAGAAATGGTACATGGACCTTGTACTCACATGGATTTTGATGTCTTCTGGATTGCCAAAGGCAGTGATGCTAAGAGTAGATCCTGACTGATCGCCTAGTAGTTATCTTAACTTCTTTTTAATGGTTAGACTTATATGTATGCTATTTCTGGAAATGTTGGTCTCAAATTATTATCCTACCACAAAAAAGAAAATAAGAAAAACTGTTAATTTACCAAGCACTGGTCTAAGTATTTTACATATTTTGACTCATAATCCTTTAACAATATGAGGTAGATATACTTACTTCTATTTGACAGATAAGGAAACTGAAACACAAAGACATTCTCAAGGTCATATGGCTAGTAATGATGGAACCAGCATTTGAACCTGGATAGTTTGAAGGAACAAAAATCATCTTTAATTTATTGCTTTTTTGAAGTAAGAAATCTCACTTCTTTGTTACTAGCTCAGGCAGTAAAATAATATAGACCTTCAGGAGAGAGTTGTATGTAGTGTTTTGTGGGCAGTTGTAATTTAAAACATCGTCCCATACTTTTAACTCTAACTAAATTTACATATTTTTTCCCTAACCCACAGGAATATCGAAAACAGAAAAAAAAGTGAAATTGGAAGAAAAAAGCTCAACAGCATTTGGTATGAACAGAAAGTAATCTTTAAGCAAAAGACTATAAAGCTTGACAGAGAGGGAGGACATAGTCTGCCCCTTATTCTTTACCTGTTAATGCTTCTTTAGGTGTAAGTGATCATCTGTTTTAGTACTTACTAGTGTTAGTCAGCTCTAGACACATGACTTATTAAATACATACCTTGTTTTATATGTATTTTCTGCAAAGGGAGTCTCTGATTTTCTCTGAGAACTTCTGTGTTTATCATCCCTAGCTAAAATTACAGCTATTTAAAACTAAGCCTCTAATATTGTTGAGACTTAAAGGATGCATTAAGATAGTCAATTTTTTCAGACTTTCTTCTTCAACATACCTTATAAAAAACTTACTGAATTTTCTGCTATCTTTTCTGTCCTTTGTGCTGTAATGACTAAAAGTGATGAGATAATGGATAATAGTCGTAACTATTCTATACATTGGCTAACTGGAACTTGGGTCACTTAAAGTTGGTTAAATATGGTTGATAAATCATAGGCTAAACCATTCTGACTTAGAACAATAACTACTAGGATATATGTGATGATTTAATTTGAAATACGTTCTAGGATACTGCTCTAATATCTTTTTTTTTTAAGTATATACGATTGGGAAAAAGAATGTTGTAAAATTTTGGAAAAAAATAGTTTAATGAAATAAGTTTTTTTCCTTCATGTTCTTAGCCTTCATTCTTGTACACACAGGGAAAGTGTTGACAGACTGAAGGAATTATTTATGGATTGATTTTTTTTTAAATTTTTCCAAAGAAAAGTCCATCAAATTTTTTTTTCTGATCTTCTAGTATATTTTCTCATTAAATTATATATGGAAATGAAAAGTCTCGTCAGTCAAGTCTTTTATAAATTATGGAGTTTAACTTCTTGTCACATCAGAAAATTGAGTGTATTACTATTTATAGGTTTTAACTACTGTCTATATTAACTTTAAGGTATCAGTAGTTGGGATTTCTCAACATTGCTAATGAAGATCCCCTCTTATAGTCCAATAAGCTAATCAGCAGTTCCAGAGTCATGACGTGAACAGTTTAATTGAATTTATCCACTCAGGGCAGGTGACTGGAATAGCTGATTAAAACATAAATGCTGCTTTTAGGTTAACCACAAAGGATCAACTCAGGATCAGTCATGATTACTGAAGTATTCACTTTTATCTCTTAGGTAAGAGAAAAGAAAAGGACAAGGAAAGAAAAGAGAAGAAAGACAAAGATCACTACAAACCCAAACAGAAGAAGAAGAAAAAAAAGAAAAAGAAATCTAAACAGCATGGTAAGTATGCTAAGATGGTTATTCCCATTTTTTAAAGTTCTAAGATTTCTTGGATTCCCCTTTACCAAAATGGAGGTATGACAGGGTCCCCATTTCTTGAGAACCGAGGAGTTTTTGTAGCTTTCCTTTGTCTTGTAATTTCAAAAAACATGCCACTTTGTTTTACTATGGTCTATAAGTTAATCGTTGCAACTGATTAGAGACTTTCCTTTCCAGCATTATGGTGGACTAGATGCTCTGACCAAGCACCCTTCAGCATGCTCAAGAAATTATTTTCAATCTAGAATCATAGAGCCCCTTAAATTAGATTTCAAGAATGAGGGTGAAATAAAGGTATTTTTAGAAGAACTTGAAAAACCAACAGAATTTGCTATCAACAGTCCATATCTAAAGGAAATCCTAAAGGGTGAACTTGAAGGCTGAAGGAAAATGATGACAAAAGGAAGATTCGAGATGCCAGAAGACACGATGAGCAAAGTGTAAATATGTGGGTAAATCTAAACACTGACAATGTAAAAAAATTTGATTTGTGGGGAAAAACAAAATGATAGTGAACAAAAATATAGAAGAATGATAACTTGTATTTGGAAGGAGCATTCTTATATTTCAGTGCTTTTAAGCTCCCTGAATTATTCTGGAAGAATGAAAGGAATTTGTTGCGTTTTTAGGCTTTAGTAAATTAAATGTTGGTTTAAAAATTTTAGCATAAGCACTAAAAGAATAGGATAGGGTATAATTTCCAAAGTAGAGGGGGAAAAATATAGTGAGTAAACCATCCAAAGAAGGCAATAAGAAGAGAGAAAAATCATAGAAAAAGGAGAAAAATGCAAATTATAAAATATTAGAAATCCAAATATGTTAGTAATTATAGCCATATTATAAAGGTTATAAAGATTTTAAAATTGAGTTTTATGTTACATATAAAAGACATATCTAAAGATAAGGATAGAGAAATGTTGAAAATAAAAATATGGAAAAAATATGATAAGCAAGTACTAACCAAAAGGAAAATTAGATTAGATATATTAAAAACAGATAAAGTAGTCATTAAGGCAAAAATCATTCTAGAGATAGGAGGTTACCATATAATGACAAAGGTTCGGTTCACTTTATATCTTCCTAGATACAAAATTTCCAAATTTTATCACTGAATAATACCATATCTTTCTTAGTAATTAATTAATAACACTAAAATGTTTTCTGTAAGGATAAGAAAGATAGCAGCAGTACAGTTAATCTAATAGATCTATATAGAACACTGAACTCAGTAGCTACAGAGTATAGTTTTCTTAGCCAGACACATTTCTTAAAATTGACTATGTGACACAGCTTTAAACAGATGTCAACAAATTGTAATGATTAGTGTAATACAGACCCCTGGTTTCTGACCACAATATAATTAACGAGAGCCAGTATCAAAAATATAAGTAGAAAAGCCCTGAATGTTTAGAAATCAGCAACACACTTCTACATAACTTATGGATCAAAGAACAAGTCCAAAGGGAAAGTAAAAAAGATGTTAAGAACCTAAAGGATGATGAAAATGTTATATGTCAAAACTTGTGAATGTAGTTAAAATGGTACTTATATGAGAATGTATAGCCATACATGCTTATATTAGAAAAGGATGAAAGACTGCTAAGTCTGCAGCTTAAGAAGTCAGAAAAGGAGAGGGCTTCCAGATGGCTCACTGGAGGCATTTCTTACAGGCGTCTTCCACAAAGAAGAACCAAGTTATTGAGTAGAGAATCACACTTCAGTAGATCATCCCGGAGAGCACACCGGAATTCAAAAGAGAAATGCCAGGAAAACACCTAAAGCAAGGAAGTGGGGAGGGAAGGGAGGCAGCCTGCTCAGCCAGAATCATCTGGGAGCTTGGAGAGACTTCTTAATGCAGGGAAGTGTAAGCAAGAGACCCCCTAGTGGTCCACATTTCCACCAGGAATCCTGCAATGATAGCCACAGGAGAGCCTCTTGACCCTTGCGCGCCCTGAAACTAACATAGGAAACTGCCTGGAGACTGTACAACAACATTGTTCCAGAGAGGGAGTTCACCCTGGGTCCCACACACGTGCTTGCTGTAGCTGCTGAATCCTAAGCAACATACAGCAAGGTGCCATTTTGAGGGCTCAGTGGCCAACAGACTGCACACTGTCCTGGAACCTAACAGAGCCTGCATCTTCGTATCTCTGGAGCCCTACTGGCATCCCTAGCCTACAGCCACTACTAGTCGTGGCTGTCTGCTGCTAGGGCTGAAGCACAGGCTACTGGCAGTGAACTTGCTGCCTCTGGCAGTGGATCCTCCATACACTTTCATACACCCAGAGAGAGTCCCTCACCCATAACTACTGTCACTGGGGCTGAAGTGCAAGCAAAGTGTGATTTCCCATCACCAGGACTGAAGTGCAAGCAAAACATAGGCTGTCACTACTGTGGCTGAAATGTGAGCAAAACACATGTTCCCCACCTGTCTGCCTAGGCTACTGCCACTGAAGGCAACCTTTCCTTCCCCAGGAGCAGGGTGGCAGCATAGCTGCTGCCCCCTCCCAAGAATTCCACCAGAGGCCTGGGGATCACTCTGCACATGCCTACCATAGCCATCACCTATATAGACCATCAGTAGGCCTAAGGATAAGCCTGCTCAGCCCAGTTTTGATCTTGCCTCCCTTCCCCTTGCCAGAGCACATAGTCTAGAGGAGTATGGATTGCCCAGCCCAGTCCACCACTGTTGACACCTGAACACTCCTCCTGGGGGCAGGAGGTTGAGCCCACCCACACAGCTACTACCACCACAGCTGGCACCTACCTGCATGTGCCACCTGCGGGACTGGAGAGTGGCCCATGCAGTCCATCAATAGCGACTGCCACACCAGTGTGTACTGCTTGGGACGTAGAGGGTTGTTCTGCCACTGCTATTGCCATTGTCCTTGCTGCACCTACTGCCCAGGGGCCTGAGAACACACCCACCAACCTGGTATACCAGTGCTACTACCAGCATCCAAGCAAGACATCTGGAGGCCCAAGAACCAGCCTCCCAGTACTCACTAACACTGGTTTCAATGTACGCCACTCAGAGGCCCAAGGACAAGCACACTCAGCCTGTTGCTGCCACCACTGGAACTTGAAAACTGCCCCCCACCCCACATCCCAATCCCCAGAAAAACTTCACTACAGCCTCCAGTAATAACCACACCCTAAGCCACTGAGGAAGTCAGATACCACTGACACTGTTTCCAGCTGAAGAGATCATACAGAGACCACATTACTGCATACAACCAAAATCAAAGCCAAAGTAGCCTACCCAACAAACACCATAGATACATCTTCAGGAAAAAGTCCTCCCCTATAAAAGGAAATTCAAAAAAAATTAAATTAACAGAGAAAACCTTGAATGCGAACAGATTAAACTTTCAACTTAAAAGAGATAGACTGGGTGAATGTATTAAAAAAACATGATCAAACTATATGCTGCCTGCAAGAAACTCACCTCATCTGTAAAGACACATAGACTGAAAGTAAAGGAGTGGAAGAAGATATTCCATGCACAGTGGAAACCAAAATCAAGCAAGAACAGCTACACTTAGATGAAATAAAACAGACTTTTTAGTTAAAAACAGTAAAAATAGACAAGCTGGTTATATAATGATAATGAATTCAATTCATCAAGAGGATATAACAATTCTAAACATACATGCACCCAACACTACCACACATATAAAGAAAATATTAGGTTTAAAGGGAGTGCGAGACTCCAATTCAATAATTGTTAGGGGACTTCAATACGCCACTCTCAGCATTAGACAGATCATCTTGACAGAAAATTAACAGAGAAATATTGGATTTAAACTGCCTCTTAGAGCAAATAGACCTAGCATACATTTACTGAACATTTCATTCCAACGGCTACAGAATATACATTCTTTTCATTAGCACATAGAACATTCTCCAGGATAGATCATATGTTAGGGCACAAAATAAGTCTCAATAAAAGTTTTAAAAATTGAAATATCAAGTATTTTGTCAGGCCAAAATTCTCCTCAAACTGCTTCATAAAATTAAAGAAGAGGGAATTCTCCCTAACTCATTTTACAAGACCACCATTACCCTTAAAGTAAAACCAGAAAGGGACAAAACAAAAAGAGAAAACTACAGGCCAATATCTCTGATGAACATAGATACTAAAATCTTCAACAAAACACAAGCAAAGACATCCAGCAGCACATGCAAAGGAAAAATAATAAACCACAACCAAGTGGAATTTATCTCAGGAATGCAAGGATGGTTCAACATATGGAAATCAAGAAAGATGGTACATCACATCAACAGAATGAAAGACAAAAACTATGATCATCTCAACAGATGTAGACAAAGCATTTGATAAAATTCAGCATCCCTTCATGATAAAAATTTTCAACAAACTAGACAAAGAAGGGACTTACCTCAATATAATAAAGGCTATATATGCCAAACCCACAGCTAGCATCATACTAAATGGGGAAAATCTGAAAGCCTTTCTTCTAAAAACTGGGACAAGACAAAAATGCCCACTTTCACCACTTCTATTCAACCTAGTAGTGGAAGTCCTAGCCAGAGCAGTCATGTAAGAGAAAGAAATAAAAGGCATTCAAATTGGAAGAGAGGAATTCAAATTGTCCCTTTTGGATGATACGATCTTATATGTAAAAAAAAAAAAAAAAAACAAAAACCTGAAGACTCCACCAAACAACTCTTAGATCAGGTAAATTTAGTAAAATCACAGGATACAAAATCAACAAACAAAAATCAATAGCATTTCTATACTCCAATAAGGAACTTGCTGAGAAAGAAATCAAGACAGCAATCACATTTAAAATAACTACAAAAACAAAAAGTGCATAAGAATAAATTTAACCAAAGAGGTGAAAGATCTCTACAAGGAAAACTATAAAGCACTGATTAAAGAAATTGAAGAGGATGTAAGCAAATGGAAAAGATATTCTTTGCTCACGGATCAGAAGAAT